TTTTTTTTTTTCACCCAAATCGTCACTTAGCATGGTTTTGCACTCACCCCTTCAATTGCAAAATTCAAAGGTAAAATATAAATTCATTTTTACCAGGGGTTGTCCTTGGGGTCACCGTAGTCCTTGCTTAAGATTTCTACTGTTTCTTAAGAATCTTGCAATAATTGTGTACAGTTGGACCCTGCTAATTTAAACTTGGTTATATTGAATTCCCCCTTACATGTATTTCAAGCTCAGAACCATTTCCCTTGGATTGCCCTTTAGTAATTTACTATTGGCTATGTCTTACTTTCAAACTAATTTTTGTTTCCCCTGAGAGTTCAATATAGCTGGCTTTAATTATATATTTATTCAATGTTGACCAATTCATGTTGTTGTTGTTGTTGATGTTGTTAATCTTTTGTTCATTCTCATTGTCCTTAAGGGTATGATTTGCTTGAGCCTACAGCTGCATGGCTCCTCTCACAGGATAAAATTAATTTGCCCAAAGATTTTCTCTTGTAGAAAATGCAACTTATACTGTACAAATTAAGTAGCACCAAAGGCCTGAAATTCATGCAGAGAGTGAAATAATTCTTGAGAATATCTTTCTGTGGAGTGACACTTACCCATCAAGATGCGGAGTGGGCTGAGTTGTTCTGTGAAAGAAGAAATACATAATTATGTATATGCTAGCCTGTGAGCAGGCCCACACTGGAGCACAAGTGTGCACGGCATAGCCGTGAGTGCAAACGAAAAAGTGAGCCTGCTCTGATCCCTGCAAGTTTTTCATTTCCACCCTGGAAACCACAGAAGAAATAAGCCAATGAATTTTCACCAGAAGTATGAACTTTGGCAGCTCAGATTTCTCAGGAAAATTGTAAATCTTTTTCATGACAACAAACAGGTGCAATATCTGTTGTTGATAAAGTCTTGTTGAAACAAAACCGTCAAAGTTTATGTCTAGCAAGGACACACACTTGATTCCAAGTGATCTTGCATTGGCAGTCTGGTCTTTGATGATGCTTGTAAACGGGCAAATGCCTTTGTGTTGTTTCATTGCCCAATTGCAATCACATACGTTTGTAATATTTAACTCTTCCCATATGCAGTTGGCAACATGACAAGTATGTCTTGATTCATTAACATACATTTACTTTCAACTGCTATTTCCTGCTCTCTCTTAAATAGTTTGAAATTTAACGAGAAATAGACTGAAACTTTGCTAAAACATCAGTAACATGCACACTCAACTCTTCCTCTGACTCCAGAATGTGGATGACTTAAACATGTGGTAAATTACCGACTCCATGGGGATCTAATTGCTCCCCATCAAACGTAATAGATTGACAGTTTTCTCACCTTTTCTGATTTTCAACCAATGGTATTTCACTTTGCTCAGGCGAAGCAGAAATGAAAAAATTACAGAGATCAAGTCAGGCTCACTTTCTTGGCGCCTCTTCACCAGATCGCTTTGCTCTTCACCGCTAGCGCATGTGACTCAAAGGTGAGCCTGCTAGCAGGCTATATGTATGCATATGTTATACTTACAGTAGAGGAGGACCATGTTTAATATGAAGCAAATCAGTAAAACTGCATCTGTCAAAAACTTAGAATGATTCCAAAGTTTGGATCGAATTAGGGAAAATGGCCATTTTGTAAGGGCTTAAAAGCCACACAAAATGCCATGTAATGTCAACTAATAAGATGTGCCACGGACAAAACAAAAAATCCAAGTTGGACATCCTTTTCCTTCTACCACATCTATAGATCTATTGTTTCTGTCTTTTTGTGGTTTTTGACTTTCGGCAGGAAGGAATTTGCCCAGAGTCAATCTGCCAGTGACAGTTCTCCAATAGAAACTCTTCTTCACCAGCGACGATAGCACAAAGTGTAACAAAAAACCTGTCTGCAACAAGTCCGAAATACTTGGAAGGTTTGCGCACAGAAGAATTCATGGAGGTGTTTAGACTTCTGGCCACAAAGGTCACCTTCAGGTCATCATTATTAATTCTTCTTCTTTAAAATTGATAACAAGAAATTGCGTGATTTGTCTATTGTAATCATTGTGAGTTATTAAAATTCTAAAAAGAATGCAAGTGCAATGCTGTTAATCATTGAAGAAGTTACTAATTAATTAGTGCATGCTTACATGTATTCACTCAAAACTGCACTTAAGACCTGGACACATGAGCACATATCACGCAACATTTTTCATTTTCCTGAAATATTGCATCCAATATTGCAGCTGTAGCACAAGATTCTACTTCTGCAATATTGTGTGCAAAATCACATACAACAATTTCAGGGTTGGGCACAAAAATGCAATTTAGCCATTGCAAGCAAATATTGTACAAAGTGTGAGGGGTCTTGTCTCCAAGTTGTGTGATTACCTAGATAGACAATTCTACTTACATGCACATGTTTGATAGTGTTACTTACATAAAGAACTGTGATCCATTTGTATTTGGCCCTCTGTTGGCCATGGATAACAGCATCGGCCTCTCATGCTTTAGTTGAAAACCCTCATCTGTCAAAGTAAACATATTTCAGAAAATTATGCAATTCATTAGTCATTTAATCATTGGAAAGAAATTTGCATGCACACATAGCATCAGTTACATGAACAAGTTACATGTTAAACTGGGTGTGTTTAAAATACAAAATGACAAAATGATGAAGTGACACTACAGTTAGCCTAAATATCACTGACTCGAGTCAGTGGTTAGTTCTCAGGGTTCACCCTCACAGACACTCATATCCTACATTGACTCTTATGCTAGTACCATTTCATCATTTTGTCATTTCATGTTTTTAATTACCACCTTGGGTTTCTGTAGCATAAAGCGAACATGAAGCAATGAGGAATATTGTTACCCTCTTTAGACTGATGCATTGAGGGTAGTCCCAACCGAGCTCAACCACCACCAACCTTCCAGGATCCAAAATAAATAAATAATAGTGATTGGATCGAGTGGAGTACAATTTAGGGAGTAATCACGCGAGTAATTTCAAAATTGGACGAGCATGAAGCGTGAGGCCAATTTGAAATTACAAGCACAATTACTCCCTGAATTGTACAACACGAGGTCCAATTACCAAATTATTAATTAAATCTATGACAAATTTCGGAATTAAAAATGTCTTTTGAGAACTTCTTTTGAGCAAAAATGTCTGCAGCGCCTTTCATAAGTTTTGAAAACTGTACAAAACATTGTGAAGGAAGCCATTTAAGCGCACGTAATTCACTTTAACTGAGGCAATTGTCTCCACTCACTTGTTACTAGCAAAGGCCCTGTTAAGTACATAGAGGATATTACATGGCTGCATGGACATACGAAATTTATCTTCAAGTGTTAAAAAAATATTTCACAAGTGAACATAGCGAACAAGCGAAATACTTTTCAACACAAGAAGAGATTTTTTATATCTCCAAGCAAATTGTAATTTTCTTTGTGTTATATAAAATTTTCACAACACATAACAATGCCTTTGGCAATTTCCGAAGATTTCCGACCACTTTTCAAAGATTTCCGAAGATTTTCCAAAATTTGTCTGAAGGCCAGATGAATGTTTCCAAACATTTTCCAAAGATTTCCAAACATTTCCCGTAAATTTCCAAAGATAACAGAAGATTGCTGAAGACTTCCGAAGACCTAAAATACCGAATATCCGAAGATCCGAAGATGTTTCAATCATGTGCCAACAAATTTAAGTGCAGTTAAAGGGAAAAAAATGATATCCTCACATGTGTGGATAAAAATGATATCTTCGCATGTAGGATATTGTTTATCAATTTGCTACCACTCATTATACCACTACCTTTTATACAATAAATGAATCTTAAGTTTATATGCAAATTACACAACTGACCATTGAATGTGCCTCCATAAATGGATTCTCCTCCAGTACCATTCCCTATAATAAACAGAGAAATAATCCTTCAATAAAGTAATTACATAACCATTTTTAGTCGTCAAGGTATTGTTTAGAGTTGCACTCAAAGAAGTAACAAACAAACAAACATTGCCATGTCCATTTTAAAGTGGTGTCTTTAAGGTTTCAAATAAAGCTTGAAACACTCCCAGATAGGTCTCCGTTAGCGATTTAACTATTGAAAATGTTGTGACGAGAATATACATGTATTACCTTTCCATATGGGAGTCTCCTCTCCTTGGGCTTTCATATCATTTTCCCATGGCCATCAATTTGCAATTTACCTGTCTCGTTACCTCTCTTGACCTGAATTTGCCAAGGCATTCTACTACTGTACATGTACATGTACCCGTTTTTCAAACCTCATCCAAACTCATCAGGACTAAATGAGCGTGGAAAAGGTGCCTGTTAAGCTCTCGGCTGTTAAGCTGGACTGTTCACTGGGACCAAAAAAAGTTGCCATTGTAGAGAGGTGGCTGTTAGAGGAGGTCCAACTGTCTTACCACAATCTTAGTTACATAAGGGAAGGGGCAGATCAGGAGCAAAGCCTTTGGACGCACCATAAACATGATGCAACAAAAGCATAATGGCCTGACCTCAGTGGGAGAGCTATAAACTCAGGGGACCCCTGCAAAACCACCCCCATATCAACAGAAAATTTGCTAACCAGCAGTTGTTTCAAGTTTAACTAAATTACATTTAGTCACATAGGACACACCTTTGGTGAAATCTCCTCCTTGAATCATGAAATCCTTGATGACACGGTGAAACTGCGATCCCTTGTAATGCAATGCCTTGCCTGAAACCTTGCTTAGGCCTTTTTCTCCTAAAAAAATCATATTAAACCTTTGACCTTAACAGGTAACAATAATAATTATTAAGACTTAATCCCAAAGGCAACAATAAACCCTTCCATGTGTTATCAAGGCTAAAAAATCTTAGATTTCAGCAATGAAGCTGATGTTGAACAATACACCTACATACACCAATACTTTTAGTAGCTACATTTAATTAAGAGTGCCTGCCTGTAGAAATCACACAAATTCTTAATTTCGCGGCAAGGGTCGAAAATTC